TCACTGAAAAAGAAGTTTACCTAACTCTGAGGAATCAGTGCTGATTTCAGTATACTCAGGGCAAAGATCAGCACTAACTGGGACAGAATTATTAAATAGGTCATTGTCTTTGCCCATTACCTAGCCCCCATTGTTCAAATCCCCAGACAGCACAGGAATACAGCTTTTGAAAGAACTGTAGTAGTTATAAGGCTTAATTCATAGTTACCATGTGCAGTATCTGAAATGCTTAAGAAGCCATAATCTAGTAATCCAGTTTCAGGATGATATGATTTTTTTAATCAAAAATAATTCAAAATAACTTTAGCTTTTTGCTTTTATTAACTAAAGTATAAGAGATAGCCAATAATATCTCTTTAAAGTCACCTTTTTATATTTTATCTACTTTTTCACACATTACAGCTTTTCCCACATTTCTCACTACAAAACCTAATGGAAAAAAATACTATTCTGAATAATTGCAAATTTTGTCATATTTCCAAAGCACTGTTCTTCAGATTCTGTGTCAGAAACACCAAAAGTCAATCTGACATATGAGAATCCTCAAAACTCAGAGTAGGAAAAGAAATAAAAGAGGCCAGTCCAGATACCTCTTTATCAAGGAGGGACAAGAAAACGTGGAAATAGTCCTATATTAATACTTTTTATTCTATCACATTGCACAAGAAAGAAGAATACCATATCCTTCTTGGTTGTAGGCAGAAAACGCATTAAGAAAATTCTGGACATTGGTAATTGAACTAGTAAGTAAAGCATCATGGTGCTGTATTTCATTGGATTCACGTCTGTGGCATGGGCAGGGAATGTTACAGTTGCTTGTCGTTATTGATATCAAAAGCACTCAAAACAGCTTCCTGAAACTCAATACCTGACTGAGTATCCTCCTCACTGCCACCTTCATTTCTTTGTTCCTAAAAGTGTAGATGGCAGGGTTCAGAAATGGGGTGATAATTATGTCGAAAATAGCAAGGAATTTATCCACTGGCATTGTAGGAAGTGGCCATGAATACACAAAAATACACGGACCGAAAAATAAGACTACCACTGTGATGTGAGCTGACAGCGTAGAGAGGGCCTTGGACAAGCCACCTGAAAAACGTTGCCAAACAGTGACCAAGATGAAGACATAGGAGATAATCAAAATGAAGAAAGTTCCCAGGGAGATGAAGCCACTATTGGCAGTGACCATGAGCTCCAATCTGTAAGTGTCTGTGCAGGCAAGCTTGATAAATCGGGGAAGATCGCAATAAAAGCTGTCCACTTTATTGGGGCCACAGAATGGTAGGTTTACAACAAATACATGTTGGATCAGTGAGTGGATGATTCCAATGGTCCAGGCAGCAACCAAGAGTAAAATACAAGTTCTGAAGCTCATGATGGTCAGGTAGTGGAGAGGCCTACATATAGCCACATAACGGTCAAGGGCCATGGCGATGAGCAGAACCATCTCAGTTCCTCCAGTAACATGAATGAAGAACATCTGAACAATGCAGCCTTGGAAAGAGATTACTTTTCTCTCCTTGAAAAGATCAGAAATCATCTTGGGAGCTGTAATGGAGGAAACCCACATGTCAATAAAGGAGAGGTTGGCTAGCAGGAAGTACATGGGGAAGTGTAAATGGGAGTCAGAGATCACTGTGAGCACAATGAGGAGGTTTCCTAAAATACCTGTTACATAGAACACAGAGAAAACTAGGAAGAGGACAAGTTGCATCTCCAAAGAACTGGTGAGTCCCACCAACACAATCTCAGACACCACTGAATGATTTCCTCCCCCCATGGTGTCAGTCACTTTGGGCTCCAAATTTGCCTGAAACAACAGGAAAAATAAGAGATTGGGATTACTGGCCATATGAGTCAGGTTCCATTAGAGACGCAGAGCCACTAGGAGACAATATACTAAGGAATTTGTGACAGTGACAACCTTACTGATTCAGCAGAAGCCAATTCAGCAGTCTCTGCACATCTGTTGTCTTTGCCTCTTCTGGTGTAGCTTGAAGCCCACAGGACAGGCATCAGGAAGAGAAGATGGATGTAAAATGGAAGAGAACAAAAATAAACTGGAACCCACAGTCGAGAACTGAAGACCTCAAGGACAGACTAAAACCAGTGTCACTGCTCTTTGCCTCGACCTTGATGGTGTGGATACACTGTAGAAGCTAGGGCCCTTCACCCCAGAGCTAAACACAAACCTGGCCTGAAAGTCAGAGAAGCTAAGAAGGATCCCAAAGAAGGTGTGGCATTTGTAGTCACAGCCGTTGCCTCACATCAGTGAGATAAGTCAGCAGAGAAATGACAACACGTTAGAGCTACAAATATGGCTGCTGCTTCATTTCTGCCCTTGAAATAGAGTTGTAGCATGCATGAGATCATCGGTTCAATCCCCAGTATCTCTGTTAAATAAAATAATAATAAATAAATGAATAAATAAATAAACCTAATTACCCCCCCAAAATAGGAAACCTAATAATCCTATAACTGCATTAAAGAAATTAAATAATTTAAAAGAGTAATTTTTAAAACCTTCCCACAAATGCAATTCTGATTTTAGTGACAACATCCACCAAAAATTCAAGGAATCAGTAATTGCAATTCTACATAAATTGAATAGAAAGAGAAAAGTTTCTCCTCTACCTTATTTTATGAGACTAATATGATGTTGATACTAAAATTTAACCGGTGCAATATAAGAAAAAAATTCCAGGCCAATATCATCCATGATTATAAATGCAAAATTGAAAAAAAAAATGACCTTGCCAAAACCATTAGGAGCAATATAGCAGTTTGGGTTCCCCAAGTGCAAACACTGAGGTGGAGTTTGGAGTACAAGATGCTTACTAGAGATCAATGCCTTTAAAGGAAAGTCAGAGAAAGCAGGATTGAGCAAAGGAAGAAGTGTCACCACACGGAGTCCTGCAGTGATTTTTGCCCCATCAAATTGTCCCACATCAGGTAGAAAGAGACGGGCAATTATACCACCCTTCACTCATCAGTCACTTGTGGGCTGCTCCAGATAGAGTGTGAACTCGGGGGTCTCTACTGCTGAAGCAGACGCCAGCAGCGGACAATTAGAGGCTGTCTGCTGATGGCATTCCCACAGCTGAGCAGCAGGTCCCTCCTTGAAGGGGAATCTGGGTGGCAGGGGGGACAGGAGATGATGGATTCTAGTCTAGACACATAACGTTCATAGTGAAAGGTGGACATCCAGGTACCAGTGTCCAGTAGTATTCATCTTTAAACAATTTTTTTTGCTTTGCATACTTTGCATACATAGATGATAAAAGGAAAAAGAAAAAGCAGAGGATTGTTAACATAAAATCAGATGATAGCCAATTATAAAAAGAAGAGAGGGGAATAAAACTAGAGAAACATAGGTGTTCCTAAGGTACTAAAAAAAAAAAAACCCTTTTAACCTGGCTGATAAGTGCACAGGAGTTCTTTTTACTATTTTCAATATACATGTATGTTTTATAAACCCTCCCGTCTATGGAATATATTTTACATTTTTTTTAAATGACAAAAATAGGAAGAGATGGATAGGGACATTCCAGAGAGAAAAAACAGCATGTGCAAAGGTACAGAGGTGAGAGTGAGCAAGCAGTTTTGTGGGGAGAACGATGGCTTTTTTGGCTTCAATAAAAGTTTGTGTAGGAGGGACAAAGGAGATAAAATGTACTACATGTGGAAAACAGATTGCTGAGGCCCTGGGAAGCCAGGCTATGGAAGATCAAATACTTCATGCTGGAGGAGTAGCCACGTGGGGTTTTTAAGTTGAGAAGGGCTTTATTTATCTAAAGTCCCGTTTTTAAAAGAAGCCACGGCTAGAGATGTAATGTAGAAACCACCTGCAGACATATGATCATTGACGCCACAAGAAATATTTATCTGGGGGGAGGGTGTAGCTCAAGTGGTAGAACACATGCTTAGCACACACAGGCTCCTGGGTTCCATCCTCAGTACCTCCTCCAAAAATAAAGAAATAAGTAAACCTAACTACTTCCCCCAAAAAAGTTTAAAAAAAATAAAAGAAAGAAAGAAATTATTTATCTATAGTGTAAAATTCCAAGATTTAAAGTATGGGAAAAAGAAACAAAAACAGCGATAAAGGCAGAGGAAGGGTGTCAGAGAACCAGGAGCATTCAGGGCTCTAGAAGCCAAAATATGAGATTATTTCAAGAAGTCGAAGAGTGTTGCAATGGAATCAGGAAGAATAAGGATTAATTCAGTGTTGCTGGGATCGTTAATTAGACAGGAGGTATTTGAAGGCAAGAATCTATTAGAAATTCTTACTCATGTTCTCCCAGTGCTTAGAACATACCTAACACATCAGATATGCTCAACTAATATTTACGGAAGGAAAGAAGGAAGGAATAGCGGAGAGAGAAACTCAAGATTGGCCAGGGTTAGGTAAAGGTAGGTTGTTAAGAAGGTTATTCTACTGAGAGTATACGATTTAAAAATAAAAAGGAGAAGATTACATAAAGAGAATCCAAAATAAAAGGACTTGTTGACAACTAAACAGGAGAACTAGGAGCCATGGAGGAGAATATGGAAGGGCATAGAGTCAGAGGTAATAAATCATAAGGTTCTGGAGTAGCAGAAATGTCTGAACGCACAAATGAAAGAAGGGTTAGCCTTGCAAAATAAAAGGGTCACGTGTTGTTCTGAATCAGGAAGGGAAAGGGAAAAGAACGTGTGAAGATACAAAGAAATGTTTTACATAATAAGGATTTTTGTTACAGCATAAAGAACACTAAAACAGTGACAGGTGAATTTGAACTGTACTAGAAATCAGAAAGTCTGTCTTTTAGTAGCCATACTGTTGAAAGTTGTATGAACTTCAGATTTTTACAGATACCTAAAATTATTTCTGCCTATTACTGTTCCTTTTTCCATTTGATTTTATTATCAAATAAAAGCTGAAGAAAAGATCCTCAGGTATCCTGGAATTTGAGTATTTGAGAAGGAAAAAAAAGTCTAAATTTTCCATTAATGTATCTGAAATTTCTTTGGGATGGAGTGGGATCCAGGGAGGCAAGGAAGAGATACCAAAATAGAAATAGGGAAGGAACCAGTAGATTGGAGGTTCAAGATGGTACAGTAGTGAGGATTAGCCACCAGAAATGGAAATACAAGGGTCCTGCAAAATTTGAAGTGCTCCCTGCCCCCAGCCTCTACCCATCCCAGCACATCTACAGCAGATTAATATTCCAAAACACTAGCCATGCCTCTCTACCACTCAAAATTGGTGACTTCCCATTGGCTTAAGAGCAGCCATGGTATTTTAGGGTCTCTGTGTTTTGGCCTCCAACACTATCGCACCGTGTCTTCAGCTAAATCAGTCCCTTCATCAACTCTGAAACTATCTTTTCCTGTTTTTCTTCAAACCACCCCCTCTGCATAAAATAGCTTGCCTCATCTATCTTGAAATGGTGCTCATTTTTCACAGCCCAGTTTAAATGCTGCCCATCTCATGAAACCTCCCCAGTTCTCCTGGCTAGAAACCTCCTTCACCTCCTTTCCCATAGCACTTCATATTTATCATAGCACTTTTTGCCCTGTGGTATAGTTACATGTACATGACTCATATCCTGTCTCCAAACCCTAGAAGGTAGCACTCCTGTATTATTCATCTCTGTCTTCATACTCAGTTCCTAGGGTAGTTTCAGAGGGCAGAATTGTCTGTTCTAGGAAGTAGGTGTCTGCTAAATTAATTTTAATTAATTCCTTTGCAATTTCAATCTAACTGTTTAAGATAATTTAGAAAATGGAGATGGATATAAGGAGAAGGAATTGAAAGATGGTGAGGAGTGGGAAGAAAAAAAGACAAAGATCAATAAAGAAAACGAGAAATTAAACAAAAGAGTAAGAAATAGAGAAAGACAGAATGATGAAAACAATCATGTAGAAGAGAAAGAGAAAAGAAAAAAAGAATGGTCCCAGAAATTTCCCTCAAGTTCTGAGACTGAAGACTCATGGGCCCAAATGGAAAAATACAGAAAAAGAATTAAAAATCAGCTTACATCTTTAAAGTCACAAAGAGCCCAAGCCACGCACCCAGTGAAAAGCTTTAAAAGGAAAAGCTAATCTCACAAAGACAGGACCTGAGTTTTCCTTCTCAGAGAATATTTGACAGAAAGCCTTACGGACAGAGAGAGCAGATCCTCAGTGTGAAACCAGAATTTCTCCCATTCTTCCCACTTCTTTTCTAATGAGACATTTCCCAAAGGTTTCTCCCTTGTTACATTTCCCCCTCTCAGCTCTTCCTGCTCCAGGACAGTGATGCAATATAATTTTCTGAGTCTTATCTCCCACCCCAGGCAGTGACCTCATGGGGGAAAGAAACTGTGTCTTTTTCTCTGTATCCCCAGCACCCCGCACAATGCTATAAACATAACAGAAGCTTAGGAAGTGGTTTTTCGGTATTTTGGGTTTTTTTTTTTTGAATGAAAAATGAATGTACAAATAACCCAGATATCAAGGTTCTCTAATACTTCAGGAAGACTGGGGTTCAATTGAATAAATTAGAATATTTGACCTCGGCAATCACTTCAGAATTTTGTCTCCTCAGTCATTTATTATAATAACTAATTAAATAGTCATTGTGGAGGAAAAAACATGCAATTCCTGCTTCTTTGGCAAATACAGCCTAAATTGCATACTTCTCTTTGGCCTATGTAGAAGTTGTCTTTGGCAACTAAGACTAATGCTCTTACCAACTCTGGAGTGGATGTTTATCAGCCGACTAATCTGAATCAAGAGCTAAATCTAAACATTCCGTGTGCATCCTAGTGTTACACTCCTGCGTGCCTCCCAGATCATGCCGACTCTCCCACAGCGTGGCTCTTCTCCTTAAATACCTGACACCATCTCTGTCCCTGTGTAAGGACCAAGGTCGTTTCCCCGCTGAGTATTTTTCAAACCTGGCCCATGGACTCAGCTACTTCTCTCAACTCTTTCTCTTCTGGGTGCCACTTCTATACCACAACTAAGTCACAGTTTGAAATCTCTAGTGGTGATTTCGTTAGCAGAAAGTATCTTCACCGACAAAACACAACAATCTGATTGAATCTGTTCTGCCCAGCCTTCTCACCTACCTGTTCTCTAGCAGACCTGAAGTAGCAGCATCTTCAGAAAAATCACATCTGGCATATGGAGCTATTTGAAATTTCCCCAGAGTAGAGAAGAGATAGCTTATTAGTAATACAGAGGGTAATAAAAAGGGGTACCAAATAGAACAGACCAATATGACTTTAATCTGTGTTGGGAATGGTCTCAGAGAGTAAGACTGGTTTTCCCAGAGCAACATAGGAGGAGGCAGTTAATGAATCACCTAGGGGAAGACATCCTTCATGAATAAATAACCTTTATCAGATTATTTTCCTACCCCAGGGCTTGAGGCACAGGTGAAGTCCTAAAATTTACGAAGATGTCTTATTGATTAGTTTATAATGAAATCATATTTATTATCCTCATATATGCATACATATGTAAGACAGTCACAAACACACACAATTTGATATTTATTTTCTGGGTACGTGCATTGGAGCAGGTTGAAAAATTAGTGTTTTTGTTTTCGTTTTTGTTTTTTGGATATATACCCAGAAGTGGAATTGCTCAATCATTAGTTTTTTGAGAAACCTCCATACTGTTTTCCACAGTGGCTGCACCAATTT